CCGAGGCTGTTAGCAATGGCTTTTCCATTTCCCAAGTCAGTATCCGGGCATTTCTCCATGCTTGCATTTCCCGATCTTCACCTTTCCCTCCTTTCTTTGCAAACGTGCCCTTGCCCACAGCGCTGGGGCCCCTACTGCTTCCTTCTCTGCAGGCGTGGGGACAGGGGTGGGTGCTGACTTCTCTTTCCCTGCTTGCTTCAACCTCAGTCTGATTCCGCTTCCTTCACCAGGTTTTCTGTTTCTCCAAGATGATGCCTTGGACAGTTAAGAGGTCCTATGCACAACGGATGGATATATGGCTTGTGATAAGAGCTGTATGAGCCCCAATAAAAGGATTAAAAAGAGAGAGGTCCTATAATAAACAATTCACCCAACTTAAATCAATTCATTCTGCCTCAAGAAAACCAGTGCGCAAGCACTTGAAGAGCAAAATACTTAGAACCAGCTGGAGCGTTAACAGTCCCACTCTCAGGTTTAATGACGGAGCCAAGCCCAGCCCTCTCGCAGAAGAGTTGAGAAAAAGAAGAACGCATCTTAACTACAATGCTGCATCTCTGCATTGGAGCACGCTTTAAGGGTACTGAGGATGACACGCCCCACAGTCACATGACATCAGACGTGTCCCCAGAGCAGGAACAGGCCAGTCACGCAAGCCAGAGTTTATTCTCAGCTGCTGTTCTTCCCTTTTTTCGGCTTGAACTCACCCCACTCTGCTGCACTCCGGAAACATTCTTCTGCCCTGACCACTTTGGGAACTCTTACAGTCACTAGCCCTTGAACGTGCACTCTCACTCGGGGATTGATGGGCTCGCAGACAACCCTGGGCTAAGAAAGGGCACGGCGTGCTGGTGAAAACCATCTAGTGCTTTATTCTCCTGGACGGCGTCCACGATGAGGCGGAGCTGATGAACCTCCTGGCCTTCCCAGCCGTCGCAGCGGCTTGAGCTATCTCGCTGCAAAGACAGGCTGGAGAGGGAGCGTGAGCGGGTACAACACGGCGCGCAAAGGGTGGTGAGGAGCTTCATCCCAAACAACCATGTCCACAGATGCCCTGCGTCCACACACATGCGTGCCTCTGGTCTGCACCCTCAGAGCGACCTGATCTGCGGGTGCAGGGCACCCTACCACCGTCTCTGAGAGTCGCAGCTCGGTCTCCAAAAGGAAGGGACAGAGGGAGGACTGGGCCCAGAAACCCACTCCTCCCTGGTGGCCGTCCCGGGAAGGGAAGGGTGAGCTCACAGCCAGTGCACACATCCTTCCTGTGCTCACACAGCAGAGGCAAGTGTGCGTTTCTGTTTGTCTGTCTGTCTTTGTTTCCCTGGAGAACTGCACACCAGCACACACACGTGCATATGCAGTGAAGGCAATGGTCATCGATTCTGAACCAATCCATTCACTTCAAGTCAATTCCATCTCCTAGCAACTGCCCAGAAGGCTTCCAAAGCTGCCGTCCTGAGAAAGAGACTGCCACACGTTTCTCCCACGGAGATGATTTTCGGAACAAGTGAGCCCATAACCACTGTGCCATTAGGAACCCCCGAAGCAATGGGCATCCCCTTGTCATGGACTGGACTCTGATTCATAGCAGCCCCGCTGTACAATGCAGAACCGGCTCCTCGGCACTTCTGAGATTATAAACCTTGACGGGAGCAAACAGCCCCATCTTTCTCCCCCGGGAGCGGGTGGGTTTGAACTGCAGAGTGTGGTTAGTGGCCAAGTATGTCGCCCGTTGCACGGCCGTGTCTCCTTGAAGCAAAAGTTAGATATCAGTGTTTCCTCTTCGTAATTTGAAAATTCTCTGCAAGGAGTACACATGTATTTCACAGCTGATAAACATAATTCTACCTGTCATCTAAATTTATTTTCTCCCCATTTTCACTACTTTCTCATGAAAGGCGGCATTACTCTTATCTCACTGCATTTTACTAGGCAGAAACGGAGATTAAAACCGAGACAAGGGTATTTAAGAGAATGTGGTAAAAGCTGAGTATTGCTTTTTGTTTTTTTAAACTCTGTGTGGTTACTTTCAGAAGCAAAATGGGTTAAAGAGATGAAACCCATTCAAAGTCTCAAAAGTCCTATTCTGAGATATTCATAAATTTAATAACTATCCATGTGTAAAATTAGTAGATAGTCTGGTGGTGCTGCTTGGTCTATCTGTGGGCCAAAATTTAATGTTAATAAACACAAGCAAAATTTATTTACTGTACATACTCAAGTATAAGCCGGCCCGAATATCAGCCGAGGAACCTAATTTTACCATAAACACTGCAGTAAAAATGTGCTGAAAAACATGGCTTATACTCGAGTACATGTGATAAACTGACCAAAGCGATATAAGATTGATTTCTTCCTATTTTCTAAATCTTCCAGCAACAGCTAACAGTAACAGTAGTAACAGCACAAACATCACGGCCCGCCACTTACTGAATTCTTGAGGCGATCTGAAAGAGTAGTGGTTAAGCACTGACTGCAAGGTTAGCAGTTTGAAACCACCAGCAGCGCTGAGGGAGAAAGACAGGGCTTTCTACACCCGTAAAGAGTGGTGCTGTCACCGGAGCAGCTCTGCCCCGTCCTAACTCATGCTATGAGTCCTCAGTGACTCACTGGCAGCGAGCGTTTGAGTTTTCCAGAGACTGGGAAGAGGACAAAGTGTTCTAAATGGATCCTCTCTGGGAATGGCCGGGGTACTCCATGGCGTAGGAACTTGCCTGGACCCTCGCTCACAGGTGAGGGAACAAGGCTTCCTGAGGGTGAATTATTTTAACACGAGGCAACATTGGGACTTAAAGCCAGCGCTGTCTTAATCACTAGCTTAAAACCAAATCAAACAATAAAAACCGCAATTGGAACAGCAAGGGGAGCAGAGCAACAAGGTCCCCAGGGAATACCAGAGCGTGGCACCCCATCGGACTCGACTGGAAAACACTCCTAAAGGTCAACAAACAGACCTTCAACTATTTACAGGCTTTTCTTTTCTCTTCTCTATTTTTGTCATTGTTTTTGTTGTTGTTGTTGTTGTTGTTGTTGTTTTGTTGCTTTGTTTTTCTCAGTCTGGTTTTTTGTGCATATTATTATCTTTCTAGGTCTATCGAGATAAGATAGGCAGGATGAACAATCTGGAGGAGAAAATAATGGGACCAACAGTTGGGGGTGGGGGGACATGGGAGAGGGGGTGGTGGGGGAAAGGAAGTGGTGTTAACAAACCCAGGGACAAGGAAACAACAAGTGATCTAAAATTGATGGCAAGGAGGGTATAGGACGCCTGGTAGGGTTTGATCAAGGGCAATGTAATTGAGAGGAATTACTGAAACCAAAGTGAAGGCTGAGCATGATAGTGGGACAAGAGGAAAGTAAAAGGAACTAGAGGAAAGAACTAGGAGGCAAAGGGAATTTATAGAGGTCTAAATACAGGCATGTACATATGTAAAAATATTTATATATGACAATGGAGAAATAGATCTATGTGTATATATTTATAGGTTTAGTATTAAGGTAACAGGAGGACATTGGGCCTCTACCCAAGTACTTCCTCAATGCAAGAACACTTTGTTCTATTAAACTGGCATTCCATGATGCTCACCTTCCAGACACAATCATTGAAGACAAAGTGGATGCATAAGCAAACATGGTAAAGAAAGCTGATGGCACCCGGCTATCAAAAATATAGCACCCTTCAAGCAAAAGGCTTGAAGGAAAACAAGCGGCCATCTAGCTCAGAAGCAACAAAGCCCAACAAAGTGGAAGAAGCACACCAGCCTGTGTGATCACAAGGTTTCCATAGGACCAGGTATCAGGTATCAGAGACCCAGAACAAAAAAATCAAATCATTATGAATGAGGGTGAGTGCAGAGTAGAGACCCAAAGCCCATCTGTAGGCAACTGGACATCCCCTTACATAAGGGTCACAGGGAGTAGACAAGCCAGTCAGGGTGCAGTATAGCACTGATGAAACATACAATTTTCCTCTAGTTCTTTAATGCTTCCTCCTCCCCATCCCCACTATCATGACCCCAATTCTACCTTACAAATCTGGCTAGATCAGAGGATGTACACTGGTACAGATAAGAACTGGAAACACAGGGAATCCAGAACAGATAATGAGAGAAGTGATACCATGAGGGGAAGGGGAAGGTGGGGGAGAGAGGGGGAACCAATCACAATGATCTACGTATGACCCCCTCCCAGGGGGATGGACAACAGAAAAGTGGGTGAAAGGAGACATCGGTCAGTGTAAGACATGAAAAAATTTTTTTATAATTTATCAACGGTTCATGAGGGAGGGAGGGGTTGAGGGAAAAATCAGGAGCTGGTACTAAGGGCTCAAATACAAAGAAAATGTTTGGAGAATGATGATGGCAATAAATGTACAAATGTGTTTGGCACAATGGATTTATGTATGGATTGTGATAAGAGGTGTACGAGCCCCCAATAAAATGATTTTTTTTTAAAAAAAGAAAAGATAGAAAAGAAAAAAGAAGCAACAATGCGCTGCCCCTGAGCTGATTCGGACTGATGGTGACTCCAGAGGGCAGAGTGGAAGTGCTCCGTCAGATTTCCAAGGCTGTAAATCTTTACGGAAACAAAGCACCCCATCCTCTCCATGAAGGAGACGGCAGTGTAAACGGCTGGCTGTGTGGTTAGCAGCCCAGCGCTCGGCCCACTGCACCACTGGGGCAGTGACTGCAGACCTGCAGTAGCTTGAGTGCATTGGGAAGAGAATGGACGACTGAAAACATAATGTTAATTCCCAAGACGGCGGGACACCAAAGGAAGCCCTTAGAAGAACCCACACCTCCTTCTGCAGATGAGCAGTGCAGACATCCCCTAACTGCATTCGGAGTCTACGCTGGACTGGAAACCCGCCACATTCTTCTTCGTCATCTCTGTTCCATGAGCTCCGATGGAGCAGATGGTGTGAACACTGGAGAGGAGAGTACACAGAACCCATCACGTCCCCGTCACAACAAGCGTCTAAAGGTGAGGAGGCTGGACCCTACCTTGGCTTTCATGAACTTGGAGTGGCTCTTGTAAACTTCTATTTGCTTGATCTCTTCTTCCCGGTCCTCAGTATTCAGCACACCGTTAGCTTTTAACAGCTGGATCTCGTCCTCCAGGTCACGTATGTTTCTCTCCAAGGACGCGATTTTGGTGTCCTTTGTAAAAACATAAAACAACAAAACGAAAGATAGTTGTTTTCACTGTCATCACAATAGAACCGAAGAAGGTAATTTTTTGGTGATAATACATGCAGAGGTAGATGTCGCCCTCAGTACAGAATCTTTCTCCCTCATGATGAGCATCATTTATAAGATTGCTTTATTTTCCAGCTCTTATGAGAAGTCGCTTACCAAGAGAACAGAGAATTACTGAGTATGTTTGGCTAATACCTGGGAATCAAAATACCAAACCACCATTGCTAATGTTGATTTAAACTAATCACAGGGAAAAATGCCCTTTACATGTGTAAATCAGCATTTGGGCATCGAGTTCACCAGTTTGGAGGGTCAGGTGCGCTTGGGAACACAAGAAGGTATGCAGTGACTATGGTGAGGCTGGTTTCTAAAGCATGCTTGGAACACGACTGGGGTCAGAAGGAAACTCAAGTCTAGTAAAGTAAAAAAAATTCTCATCTAAAATATAAAATCAGTGAAATTACATGACTGAACCCTCAGTCCGTTTTACTGATGCAATAAACATTTAAAAAATCTGGCCCCTGGAAATAATCTAAACACAGTCAGTCAGATCCTTGCAGGAACACGGCTCCCCCTACCCTGTAGGGAGTTTCAAAGCTATTGCTCTACTGGGGGTGGGGGTGGGGGTGGGGGGGGACAATTAGAAATATTACACAGAAAAATAGGATTAACTGAGAAAACAAAAGCCATTGAGAGATAAAAAAATAAAATTAAGGAAATAAGAGACTGAATGAATCCAGAGTCAAGTGTCATGTGGTACATGGATCAGAAGGTAGAAGAGAGAGCTCTTACAAGGGTAAAAGAAACAGTGTCTCCCACTCCAGGTACTGAGCATGAGACTCTAGTCAGTTTTCAAAATCAGACTTTGACTGGCGCTCTCTCTCCCTCACCATCACTGTCCATCCCATCTGAGCAGCTTCCAGGAGGCTGTGCGACACTGAGAACAGTGCTATGGAAAGACCATGCCACCGAATGTCTCTCTCTCTCTCTCTCTCTCTCTCTCTCAATCAACTTGCATTTAGCCTTCAAAGACTATGATGCCAAAATCAGAAACTACAAATGGGCTATTCTGTTTATATTGAGACTCATACAAAAGTCAAAGCAAATAGATCTCTTCTGGCTCTGGTTGTTCCGCATCTTAATGTTCTACATCATATGATTACTAGCACATCTTGTTTGTGCAATGTGATAATAATAGCCCTAACATAATAGTACATGATAGTGTAAGAATTCCTATTTCAAAGAAAACTACCATTAAAGCATTCATTGCTATCAGCACGCACACAGTCACCATCATCAGTGGGTGCAGCGGCAATTAGGAATGAAACTCAACTCTGTGCGGAGACCCACAGGCACTGAGTCCTATGTGAGCTGTGTCAGTTATCAGACTCAAGCCCGAGAAGACAAAATGAGAAGATTCTGAAATTGACAAGAGAATGAAAATTTACATTTTGTTGCTTGTCCTTTTTCTTTCGAAACTCAGACCTACTGTCGTCCCTCAGTTACACACCAGCACACTTCAAAGGCATTGGCAATGGAGGAGATGGCCAGTCTCCCCTGCAGTGCAGAGAAGACCCGTTCTCGTTGCTCTGCGCACCCTCTCAGGCTGGGTCTCCTACACACAGGCTCAGGCATCGGGGGAGGCCAGTCATCCCAAGCCGTTCTCCTGGGCGCACAGAGAGCCAGAAACTCGGGATCAACGCAAAGGCCATGGTGGAAGACTACGCAGATGTTCCTGAAAGATTTCTCCAATGAATGAGTCATTTCAAATCAGTTTTTTTTTCTGCTTATAAAATTGAGACATGTTCAAAAGACATATTGCGTTAGGCAAATAGGTAGCCTGAGACATCTTTAGAGTGTTGAAAAACGGTGAGGTTACTTTGAGGACTAAGGTGCACCTGACCCAGGCCAGGATATTTTCAATCACCTCACAGGCGTTAAAAAATTGGAAACTGAATATGGATGGCCGAAGAAGAATTGTTGAGTTTGAATTGTGGTGCTGGTAAAGAATGTCGAAAGTACCATGGACTTCCTAAAAGACAAACAAGTCTGTCTGGAAGAAGTACTGCCAGGGGATGGGGAGACTTCCTCTTACACACTTCGGGCATGTCAGGAGAGTCTAGGAGAAAAACATCATGCTTGGTGAAACACAGGAGCAGTGGAAAGAGGGAAGCCCTTAAGGAGATGGATTGACACAGTGGCTGTAACAATGGGCATGGGACCTATGGTGAGGGTGGTGCAGGACCAGATGGTGTTTTGTTGTGTTGTGCATCCACTGCTGTGGGTGGGAATTGACTTGCAAGCCCAGGAGCAGTTGGTGACTTTTAACCGCTGACCTTGAGGTTATCAGCCCAATGCATAAAGCACTATCCCATCAGGCTGGCGATGGCAGGGACTTAGGTATTGCAAGAAATCATATTTTAAAACTCAGTCTTTTCTGAACGTATTAATATCTTTTAAGAGAAGAACAATATCAAGCCCACCAGAACGCAGACCTATAATTATCAGCACAGAGGTAAGCAGATGAGACCGCATCCCTGGGATCCAGAGAGGAGGAAAACAGACACTAAATAGATTTGATGTTTTTTAGTTGTGGACCCCAAGGTATATGGAATACTGAGCCAGGGAAAGAAGTGAGGAAATATAAGCATGAAAATTAAATGCAAACAAAATGACCTCCTCGTACATAGTCAGCCCCAGATTAAGGACTTCAGGAGGAGAAATTTTCTCTCTTTCCTTTAAAAAAATTCTCTGAAGTTAAGATATGTAAATTAGAAGTTATCTAGTTAAGAAACCATCTTACAATCCTGATAGGGCTCGATAGAGTTCATGGATCTTGTCTTTCGGATTAATACACAGGCTTAAAACTCTTAAGCACTGATCTAGAACAGCGTGGGGGAAACCTCAGTGAAATCAAGCAGAGGCTTCAAATGAAGATTTGGGAGAAATTCTACCATCATTTCTTTCCATTTTTCCATGAGCTTTTTTAAGTCCTCCCCTTCTTCCCCGCCCCCCCCCCACTATGTGTTAATCAGGCCTTCAAACCCGATATTCCAGTTCCAACCCCTAATGACATTTTGCATTTCCATCTAGGATACACTGAATCAGAATGTATGTATTAACAAGACCCCCAAGAGAGTCTTGGAGATGCTCAGGTTGCTACATCCTGACAATTGGATGTTAGTAAGGGAAGCTTCATCTACCCCTCAACTGCCAAAGCGTTTCCTTGGTCTGAATACCTTGACATGTTTGCCTTTAAATTCTCTTTTAAAACAATTAATAGAGTGGTTTTCAAACACCCCTCCACTGTAATTCACAAATAAAAAGCTCTAGAAGCAGATTAAGGGAGGGCCTTCCTTAGAGATTGAGACAGCATGGAGCAGCCTTTCCCCAAGGCCACACATCCCAACGACCGGGTGCTCTGGAGTCAAAGAAGTTTGAGAAAGGCTGACGTGGGGGGGGGAATCCTAGAGCACACTAGCATTCATATATCTAGGACATGTGTAGCAAGTCTGACTATTTAATTTCATTTAGGCCAGGGCTATTCCCTCTAGAAGTCAATTCTTGAAGAAGAAAAACAAAGTCCACTTCTTGAAGGGCTTGCATGACCCTGTTAAGCTCAGGGTTACATTACTAAAGAGCTGAAACAAGGATTTGGAATTTTTTCTGGGGAAACTGGCGGGGATTATCCAAATTGCGGGACACTGGTCTAAACAAGAGGAACCAAGGTCTCACTCTACAGATCACCCTGTCTCTCAAGACCAGGTGACTGAGGGCCTTCTCAGAGCCTGGCCCCCAACTCTGCCCCAGTGAGCAGTCCCTGTCATCTCTGCGCTCGCTCGCTCAGGCCTCGGGCGCAGTTTGCCAGTGTCTCGCAGAGGAAAGCTATTACACCGTGTTGCTTTTACACTCTACTTTGTGTAAGGGCTATGAGCACGTGGGGGAAATACCCCAAGGAAATAAGAGAGAGGGGGGAAAGGAAGTGGTGTTAACAAACCCAAGGACAAGGGAACAACTAGTGATCCAAATCAGTGGTGAGGAGGGTGTAAGAGGCCTGGTAGGGCATGACCAAGCGTAATGTAACCGAGAGGAATTACTGAAACCCAAATGAAGGCTGAGCATGATAGTGGGACAAGAAGAAGGTAAAAGGAAATAGAGGAAAGAGCTAGGAGGCAAAGGGCATATACAGAGGTCTAAATAAAGGCATGTACACATGTAAATATATTTATATATGAGGATGTGGAAATATATCTATGTGCATATATGTATAAGTTTAGTATTAAGGTAGCAGATGGACATTGGGTCTCCACTCAAGTACTCCCTCAATGCAAGAATACTTTGTTCTATTAAACTGGCATT